AGTCTTAGCGACCTTCTAAAAATTAGTAATGTAAAGGAGCTGTGACCAATGTTGTTTATGTTATTTAAAAGTTCTTTCGTCTAAATTGCGTCATAAGGTGAGTGTTTTAGTTATTACAATCTAAATTACTATGTAGCGTATATAGGTAATATTTATTTTTATTGAATATCATTATGTATTTACGTCAATGATATTCATCTATTTCTATGCGAATATATTACACTAGTTTATTATGATTATACCTTTTACCTTACCTATTTCTGTCGCCAAACATTAATGTGAGCTTTACTGCGTTCCGGTTTTGAAAGGTAAAGATTACTGGTGAAATTACAGGCACATGGGACTTGTCAACTTATGTCTCTGCATGGCACTGCAACTGTTATGGACAGGCGTATCGCTTAACATCAGGCGCACAACCTGTTCGTCCCGTCACTTGATATTATAAAAAAATTAAATTCATTGACAAAATATTTTAATATTTATTTTTGTTGAGTACCTATCACAATATACCTACCATGGATAGGCGTATTGTCTATAACTAGTTTCATAAGTTCTGACATAAATTTGTAAGGGCTGCTCAACTCGTAAGAACAGCAGCCACGTTGAGGCAATAGACATTGGTTCGAGTCCAGTCAGATCGAAGGAATTTTTAAGGTAAATAGATAATTTATTTCACACGGGTCTCCTAAGGGCGCGTTTCCATTATGTCTTGACGACAGATAGTCGTGCAGTAAGTGTCGTGCCTTGCATATTTAAATAAAGTTGTTCACATAAAGTATAACACGTGACAATGGGAAAAGCTAGTATGACAGTCATCCGACGATAAATAAAGCGTCACGACAGATAATCGCAACTTCTAACGATTCTGTCGTAAAGACATTGATTATTATTATATTATATATTATATTAATGATTAATTGATTAATATACCTTAACCCCTTATGCTCTTGCGTTGCTAACGCGCATGTCATCATTATGCGAATGCGACCGTACACGGTTGCGGGCACGTACAAGCTGCGCTGTTATTGGATACGGAGTTACCCTATTCGTTCTTATTAATTATTCTACTGTGTTACTAAGCTGTCGTCTTTATTTTTATAATATCAAGTGACAGGACGAACGAGTCGTGTGATGGTAAGCTACACGCCTGTCCATAACAGTTGCAGTGCCATTCAGAGCTTTAAATCGCAAAGATCGGAGGGGAACTGCCACTGCGCCCGTTACCCTGAGACATAAGTTGACAAGACCCATGTGCCTGTAATTTCACCAGCACCCTTACCCTTCAAAACCGGAACGCGGAAATCTTGACATTACTGCTTGGTAAATAAGTAAGATGGCAATACTTCCCTGGATAAACTCTTTCACAACGAGCTCTACTGCTGCTAAAACATGTCTGTACGTGCCGCCATCGGGATTCCGATCGAGTTCTTAATGAGAATCTAGAGTTCTCCCACTAAGCTACCATCGCTCTCGGTACTTTAGCAATTATATTTAGCAATTCAAAGTCTAAGAAATAGAATTTTTGAAAGTTGGAGAGAGTTTAACATCTATATTCTGTCTCAACTGTCTGTGTACCTGTCACGTTCACGTAATCAAACCGTTACGATATCGTATTGAACTGCTTTTTCGTATTCACATGTGACAGTGAATGTCAAAGAATCCAATTTTAGGGTCGTATTCTAGAACTCTAATCAATGCTCAAGTCAGGATTGCACTGGAAACACAAGCACTGGAACTACGATCCTAATGACAGAGACTTGAGTATGATTTCGAGTGCTTTAAACCATACTCAGATCCTGACTTGAGCATTGAGTAGAGTTCTAGAATACGACCCTCAGAGTCGTTCGATCCAAATGTCGTTAAAGCGTATTCTGGTATATGAATCGAACTTAAATTGACTCTAAATAATACATATTTTGCTAAAATGTTGACCGTACTTTGAATAGACTTTCGACGACTAAATGTCAAATTTCACACGTTTCGATTCTACTCATATCAACGTTCGTTCAAGTAATACGTGAATACCCATTTTGGATAGGACTTCGATCGAACGACTACGTAACTTCAACGATATTTTGATAGCTTGAACTTACGTGAGTAGCACTACAGGTATATATAACACCAGGCGTCCAATTTTGCTATTCTCTTGAAACCAATTGGTTATTGCAATTTCGTTGAGACTCCATTGATAATTATGATAATATTTATTATTATAATTATGATAATATTAATTATGATAATATTTGCTAGTCTATTAAAACCTAGTTGCAATGGCAGGTGAGTCTTAGTGGAATGGCAGTGGTGGCATATATATATATATATAACAAATCCTGGATCAGAGGAGTACAGGACCGGAAAGTTTGGCAGGAGCAAAATGAAAGAATGAAGATTTAAGAGTCGATACTACTGAGGAAGTATCACATAGTTGAGGCTCGATTTCAAATATTTGCCGTACTAATACGGTTCATGTTGCTTGAATCGAACGCCAGGGACACTGGCTTCATTTCAGAATTTCTTTTTTATACAAACGAAATGAAAACCTTTGAAAAATGTATATCGTGAAGTATACTTGTTCTATTTAGTTCAGTTGATATTAAAAAAGAATTGGTATTTGTAAAGTAGGTACAGTCAAGATCACGTCAAGCTTGACACTTAACATTTTAAATCCAACTCTATGCCGCTTACGATAAGAAGGGTCCAAAGTACTAAGTGTCAAGCTTGACGTGTTCTTGACTATACCTATTCAATACAGGTTTTCTTGTAAAATTTAGAATTTTCTCGGTTGTATAGAATTTTAAGACATTTATTCTCACTATTAATGAAACGAGAACGAAAAAGCATTTTAAGAAATGTTACAAAAACATTATATATTTATTTGAGTGCAATATGATTGCAATGAACCTAATATTAGCAGCAGAAATCCAAATTTTCATGTTTTTGGAGTCATTTTGATATATCCATAGTTAATACCGCAGTAATCACTGAACTCGAATAGCAATTCTCGCACTCACAACGGTTCGAACCGATTTATACGATTATCGTTTTGATAGAGGCCGAAGAATTCTGGGTCGTCCAGTGGCATGCTGGGTCGATGACATAGTAAAAGTACTTACTGGCTAGGTAAAAGTACTATCAAAGCCTGTAGTCATACCCAACTCCACTCAAGGTCTTCTAACGCGATTCCCTACGTCTTGAATTTTCATCTGACGTCGGATTTACATTCTATTTCGTGTGTATATTCCTCTAGAACCGAACATAATACAAATACAAATAACTCTTGAAGGTTTATAAAGAAACACATTTTTTTAAAGCCAAGGAAAAAATGGCGGGTTATTGCGATGATATTTCTTACTAGATTTAATTTTTTGTTTAAATCACGTTACATTATGAGTTTCTTAATTCCTTTTTTATCTTTTTGTGCCGATGACCTACCTACTGAATAAAAAAAATAAGCTTATTAAGTGTAACAACTTTATTACATTGAAAACTTAACGCCATTTCTATTTTTTCTTACATTCTAGAAAAATTAACTCTTTTTTTTTTAATTTTCAGTTTAAAGCAAACGCCATGATGGGTACGCGGCTGCAACTCGTCTTTCCAGTTTGCCTTATTGCAGTTCTTGTATTTTTAATGACCGGGTCTACAGGTATAGTTCATTAAAATATTTTTATTAAAAAAATACTTCTAATTGCAGTAACTTGTAAGTAGATAATAACACATCATCGACTTACGAGCTATAGATTATTATTATTCATTAATTATGTATTAGCTACAAGGAAACTAGTGTTTATGTGGCAGTATGGGTAATTCTTTAGCAAGATCAATATCAGAAAAAGTAAAACCATTGTGATATTTTTATAACATTAGATCTCTTTTGAGAAGATTACCGATGTACAGGGCCGATCTTAGCCAGTAATAAATACTTAAACCAGTATGAGGAATAATATAAACCTTACATATACGAGGAAACCTAGAAAAAGCCACATTTATTTAGGATGATTTGATATCGAATTTATACGACATATTCGCTCAAGGTTAGACTTTGTATGAAGGTACATTTTAGTAACGCACTAACAAAGATAGTATCGACGCGACTCAATATTTTGCGCAATAGCTTACAGCGCCAGCACTAGCTTATGCAGCGCCCGCGTACAATCAATAGCTGGCTTTACACAGACACTCTATCGCGAGTGATACAGCAATTGAGCGCGCGTATAAAGACATTGAAAGGAAAAGGAAAATTCTGTCTTGCGCTGTTAGTCTGTAAGCAGACGCTCTTTCCGTTATAACAAAAACGAACACGAGCAATCGCGCGCGAAAGAACGTTAGCTTAATAATTTCAAACAGGTAATCGCGCACAATTGCGCGTGCAGTCTTTCCTGCGCGTAATCCTGTACGCTCCTGATCACGCGTGATAGAGTGAATGTGTAAAGGGAGCTAATACAGCTACTTGGAATGGAACTGTCGTCCAATCTGAATTTCGGCAGATACATTGAATCCATTGCCAACAATGCAGCCATGAAGCTTGGCATCCTTTCCTAGGTGAGGCATTACTTCACACCGGGACTGTGGCTTCAGCTATACCAAGTCCGGTCCTGTATGGAGTATTGCTGTCACTTATGGGATGGCTCTGCTAAATACCAACTGGCCTTCTTGGATTCAATCGACAAGCGTGCCAAAAGGCTTATAGGTGACTCGGAACTTAGTTAAGGCGAAGCTGCAGAACCTTGAACACCGCCGTAACCGCCTGCTTATCGGTACTCTACAGGATATATCACGGAGAGTGTGCGATGACATCGCATAATTTGATTCCGCCTTTCTCTTTCCATCATCAGGGGACTAGACGTGGGCTGGAATTCCACCCCTATGTTATGGATATTCCCAGGATTCCCACAAAGCGTTTCGCTTCCACATATATTAGACGTATTCCCGAACGCTATAACTTGGACCTTTTCAAGGCGAGAGTGAATAGGCATTATGTAGGTGTGAATGCTACATCGTTGACCTCATCATCACTTTCCATCAGTTGAGATGAAAATCAGATGCGCACTTATTTTTTATTAAAACAAATACCCTGGCTTTCTAGACATGCGATCAAAATAGAATACTTACACTGACATTTTCCCCTGTGGTCGGAAATTCGGGTGCAAACGATATTGGGAAGCGATTGCCCATTTACTTCATTTGCGCCCGAAGGGACACAGGCTCTTTGGAGGCGTCGCACGCGACGATTAGTGTCCCCTAAGGCCCTGCGCCACTGCGCCCTTGTGCACTGCACACCCTGAGGTAAAGCCGTCTCTGCCGATGTTCTTGGCACCTATGAGCCCCAAGCGACTTCCGAGTAATGGCGTGTTTACACAGGATCGATTGCCGCCTTCGGCAGACTACTCCGCCTTGCCGAAGTACATAGTTAGTCTACTCGCTATGTACACCGTGTCAACTGCTTACCTTTTCGGCAGGCAATATTTTAAGACATTATAAAGACAAGACGATCGTAACGTACAACAAACTATTCGGGTATATAGGTATTTCACGGCCCCCGGAGACATGGCTGCCAACATGTTTGATCGACCTTTGACTGGATTGAGTCGACCAACAGTTATTACGCCTAGTCGACTCGGGTAGCTCGCGTGACAAATTACAATACCTACTCTATGTTGCCAGTAATACGGTTCAATATCAATCAATCCAATCCATGTCAATCCAGACCATTTCCACCGAAGATGCGCTAGAAGAGAATTGAAATATTGTCATACAAAATTCAGTCCTCGTCTCCCTTTGCCGGAAAAGCAACTTTAGACCCCGCAGATTGTGTTCTTTCCTTCCTCAAACCTACAAAACATGTGGCCTTTGCGCTATGACATAAGATTCTTCAAAAAGCGAGTAAACAGGGTTCTCAAAGGCCGGCAACGCATATAGGCAACTCCTATGGTGTTGCAAAAGTCCATGGACGACGATGACCACATGTTCGCCCATTTGCCTCCCATTTTTCATTAAACCTCGTTTCTTTTTTCCAGGTGTCTTCATTTCGAACCTGTCAGCAGCGTGTTACCGCTGTCTGTGTCACGTATCCACACAATGTGACACTTCAAATGAATGCTCTGGAGGCTACTGCGGGCCTTATAACATATCCAGAGTGTATTGGATAGATGCTGGCAAAGTTGTCCTGCCTGAAGACGATCCGGAAAGGAATCATGGTAAGGAGACCTCTCTTATAGTTGCTCCTCAGAAAATGATTGACTTTCTTTAGGTGTACCAAGAGATTGTTTTATTTTTTTTAACCGACTTCAATAAAAGGAGGAGGTTCTCAATTCGACTGTATGTTTTTTTTATATATATGTTACGCGATAACTTCGGTATTTGGGAACCGATTTTCATGATTCTTTTTTTGTTGGAAAGAGGGTACCTCCGTAGTGGTCCCATTTAATTTTGAAGAAAAGCACCCACCTCTAAGAGTGGCTGTTCACGCATGAACATTCATTTTTATAAAGATCGCCTGAATTTTATTATAAGGAGCAATTGTTTTAATGGTTGATTTTGCTATTCTCCAATTCAAGGCGTTTTTCTCTCAATATACTTTGAGTACTGAGAACCGATTTTTATTATCTCCTGTGTCAAGTCCCGTATAGTGGCGAAATAGGGGATGAATCCGGGTTTGCGACTTTCCGGTAACCGATTTCAATAAAACTTGGTAATATTTTTGAAGTCGGTTTTTTTTAGTACTCTGTACTGAGATTATTTAAGAATAAGAATACATTTATTGCATAACTATAGGTAATTACATAAGGTCTTAAAATATTACATTGGTTTGTGCTCTATAGTCTACCAGTTAATGTATACAATATTATTAAATGTCACAGATTCAAATTAAATTGCATCAGAATATGAAAGAAGAAAAAGAAAAAATTATTAATGAACATGTCACATCCCTAGTCACCAAATTTGTCGTTGTCGTCAAAAAACTCTTGTACACTATAAAGAAATTTAGTACTGACCATTTTAAATTTTACTAACTCGAATTTTTTAAATTCAATTGGGGATACTGTTGTATATCTTGACCGACATTAAAAAAAACGTAAAAGCTTTTGTGGTAAAATGCTGAAGTATGATTGCCCGACTTTATAATAACAAGTCGTGTCTGATGGTAAGCTACACGCCTGTCCATAACTGTTGCAGTGCCACTCAGAGCTTAAAATCGCAAAATCTGAGGGGCACTGCCACTGCGCCCGTCACCTTGAGACATAAGTTGACAAGTCCCATGTACCTGCAATTTCACTACTTACCCTACAAACCTTACAAAACCGGAACATACTAATGCTATAATGACATTACGGCTTGGCGGCAGAAATAGGTAAGATGGCAGTACTTCCCTGGACGAACTCTTTCACAAGGAGCTCTACTGCCATTCAACATAGTGGTATATACTTAGAAGTGGCCTTTTTAAGGCTGTAGAATTTCCCATTTATCGTCGATGATGATTGTATCATTGATTATTCGAATTTCAAAACAAATGGCAATTTTTTAAACTGCCGTCGCAAAAAGAGCGGAGTTACAAATTTGAAGCCATTGTCGGTGTATCTGTTTGTGTTGTGTTGTGATCTTTATGTTTGCACTTTAACTTGAAGCGAATCTTTACACTTTTCCAGCATGGCAAGACTGCGCTAGAAGTTACCATTGCGCCATGAAAATCATCGAGGGCTACCTTCAAAAATTTGGAAAGGTAATTTACAAAACTCGAACGAAACTAGAAGTACCGGAAGGTGCAATTAGCTTTGAATATAAAGAAAGAAAAATACCATGATAAACGTAATCTCGAAAGTGGCAAATATATAAATAACGCGCAGACTCAATCCCTATATCGCGGATGCCATGGACACACGCAATACACATAGACAACCACAAATTACACCCAAACTCACGTGAGAAATAAATGTAGGCCATAACAATATTTCTCCCGGCGAATCGAACCCGGTACCTCGGCGTGGCAGACCAAACTAGTAACTATTCGGCTAAGGAAGCAGTTAAAAATGAATTTATTGAATGGTATGATGTTTTACTACCATATTAGTATATTTTTTATGAAATTACTCAACTAGTTTGTCATAATTATTAATAATATAAAGGTGAATATACAAACTCAAAAAAAAATTCAGTAAAATTTATAAAGTGTTCAATACACGTTGATACAAGCGATTTTCACTGTTACAGGACTGCAACAGCGACGGTGTAACGGATTGCTACGATTACATGATGGTGAACGGGAATGGAGGTTACGGGTGTACTCAACCGCTCAACCGAACTGCGAACGGGCGGAGGTGGCTGCAGCGTTATGAACAGTGCCGACATTCTCTATAATAGATTTGATAACTTATGAATGAATGTCAGAATAGATGGAAAATTGTCTTATGTATTAAGTAGGTGGTTACTTGACAAAGCATGACAAGTAAACGGGTTGGTTTGAAGGACGCAATTGTAACAGCGCATCAACACTGCATTCGTAATAACCCCGCTGACAATATCGTAAAATACACGTTTATGAAGGCTGACGCTGTGCCGAAGGTGTGATCCTACCTTAACTCAGTTGATGATCATAATTAAAAGATAGCTTCAACGGTTTTGTTTTGTTCTTAATGTTGTTTATTATTACAAGTAAAAAACATAACACCTCTCCAAGCAAATCGTTGAATTTCGCTACCCAATAGCTATAAATGAAGAGTTGAGAATATAATCTTTGCTTATCTGTAATAAACTTGTTAAAACATAAACACGATTACATAGAGTCCAAAGCAGGAATGAGTGAATGAATGAAATATTCTTTATTGGCACATTAAAAAATAATAGTAGATTGTACAACAAGTGCATAAAACGCGTCATTTTGCCCGAGACGAGTATATCTACTGGATGGATACTTAAGTCAAGGGTAAAATGGGTTTTATGAACGAGTTATACACTCTGCTTTTCACTTCGATTGCGAGGAAATTAAACAGCAATATTACAAATAAACGATTATTTAATTAAAATTGAATGTAAAATTAGAACAATTAGACATATTTCATGTGATGTTTTTTTATTTTATACACTAGAGCATAAAATCCTATTTTATGCAGCCTACACCCAGCACAAATACGAACTTTAAGAGCATAAGAAGTGAAAAGAATATTTCATTTTTGGGACTGAGGAATATAATAAAGAACATTTTTGTCACTAAGCATAATTATATCTGTGTCATTATGTTAAATAAACCTTAGTTCATAACTATATTGTGTAGTCCAAGTGAAAATTAAATTGTAAAAATAACAGTTTTTAATTTCTTTAACTTTAATAAATCTAGTTTCACGAAACAAACTGAAGTGGCGTTCAATATGAGTTTAAGAAGATTCCATTATCTTAAACATCTCTTTATACAAGGTACATTGCTAAGTTTCCGTGTGTACCTTGTTTGAGAGATTGAAGAAAACAAGCAATGATAACTGAAGGCAAACGGTGAGGATGTTTCGAATTTCCAGCTTGTTACATTACAGTAAAGGTAAGGAGCAAGATGACACGAATGAATATTCAACACGTCGTGTTGAAAATTCATGCTCAGTAAATGAAACTTCCTCCAAAATCATTGAAACAGTTTCTGTTTGACATAAAGCACATGCACCGCGTAGGTACGAGTGAAACTCAGTCTGGTATCTTGTTGTTCGTGCTTACAAGAACTAAGATTTTTTTTTGTTTGAGAATATACATATATTTAAACTTTTTAAATTATTTGTCATCTTTTTAAGCTGATTGCACTATAGTCAATGCTCAATAAACAATTAATTATTTTAATTTGAAAAACATTTCATTAATGGAAGTGGTAGCAGCTTTATAAAGAACTCGTAATATGGGTCGGAAAACTGCTTTTTACTTTATAGGGGCTGTACGTATGTTTCTTTTTTTTCTTAAGAGGGAGCAGAGGAAAAATTCCTAATCTTCGATTTGATTTTAGAGAGATATATCCACTTTAAAGTTAAAAATAAAATATTGTATGAGTAACTACACGATATATTCAAGCATAGACACAAATCAGAAACATAAAAACAATAAAGTTTCCTCGATAGATAAAAATCACGAAATTACCTCTAATTTTCACATTTTTTCGATTCATCCTCGAAATGCTACAGGTTATTAGGACAAAAGTTAGATAATTAATTATATTTATGCATGATCGAGAACTGACACTACGGGTTTTTTTTTTTAATCCATTTACTTTTAGAGTTATTCCCGTTATTCCGCTAAAACTTTTAATGCGCAAAATTCAACATCTCTTGTCGCATGTCACGCGAACTTCAGGCATATATTTGTTTCACAAATTTGAGCGGAGCCAAAGTCAAAACTTTGTTGGCATGAGAGCTCTTAATAAATGTTTCAGTCACTGACATTATCTCAGAACCTAGTTAAAACTAGCTTATAACGCTTAGAGTTTTAACTTATACAAAATGCGCTTTTTTTGAACAATGTCAGCCAATGTATTATTACGCTGCACTAACAACTTTTTCAGAGTTCGATTTTTACAAAACAGACCGCAGCTGGTTTTCAACTACGACATTTACAATTAATTTTATTTTACAACGAAAAACATGATTCGCGAAGTGGTAAACAAAGTAATGAAGCGAAGTAAACACATAAATCTGAAACTCGGAGTAAAGGCAATTGTATTAAACCGCATAATCAGGCTGGAAGTAGTGCTTGCGGTTGTTTGTTTACCCACTTCCTGCTAGTTGCCATCTACTTGATACAATCGTAGAGCCAGACAGTGAAAAATGGTCGTAATTTCATGATAATACTAAAAGACGTTATTACTAGAAACTCGACACAAAAGCACATTAAATTCTTAATAGGATTTAAGCAATTTAATTCCTAAAATGAAAAGCGCAAACGCGCTCTTAATCTGTAAAACAAACAAAGCCGGAAAATTGCTACGATAAAATACCTTTTTATGAGGTTAAGCCTCTGCCAGGCAGAATATAATAATTTGTAAGCGAAAAAAAACCTAGTATGTAACCCCTATAACTTTTGCGACGGATACAAGGGCCAGAAAGTATTTTACACCGTTTTTATACAAAATTTCCGGTTTCCTGTATCTTTGCGAAACAGAAATGAGCTGTCACATAAATTAGTGGCCATGACAGGCAAACGGTCAAATATGGCGGGCGAAAAAAGTGAAACAAAAAAAACAAAGTTCTGACCTACAAACGTTGAGCCTTCGGACATTTCGGGTTAGTCCATAGCCGAACGAAAAGGGCAAACATACGTATCTAAAAAAGAGAAAATAAAAGTCGGATTCAGTTCCAAAGTTTTGTAATAAAAGTTTGCTGGTCCACGCATTCCCCGCGGGCATTTTGGGATTGAATCGATGAATAAATACTGAACTAGTGCAATTGCATTTCGTACTTTGTATCAAAATTGAACATTGCCAAAGGAGACGATGAAGAATTTGTATTGAATCTGGTAATAATAAAAACTAAAAGAAGCTTCTTCTATCGCTACTTTCCAAAGTAGATTTGTGGTTCTTAATAAATAGATACGTAGGCACATAATACACTTTAATAAAAAAAAGTACATTCATGCTTTGAAGCATAGACTATTTTATAGGTGATAACTATGACCAATTTTAAAGACAAAACACCGCATGTAAACGTTATAATCTTTATTTACAGACGCTGCTCAGATTCCTATGTAATTAGATAATACACTTGTGTTATAGAAATCGGAAACAACGACGGTACAACAAACACCCAGACTCGATACAATATAGAAAACTTAGTTTTTCGACATTGACCCGAGCGGGGATCGAACCCGGGACATCAGAATGGCGACACCATGAAAACAGTTTTGCAAGCCAAAACACAGTGTATGGCAGGACTGTGCTCGAAGTTACCATCGCGCCATGAGAATCATCGAAGCTACCTTCAGAAAGGATAAGTAATTTACAGAACTCTAACGAAACTAAATGTACCGGAAGATCCAATTTGCATTAATTTATAGACAATAATGTATAGACAGTTTTATGGCTGATAACCATGATAACTAAGACCAATTGTATATACAAAACATAGTGTGGAGAACACATACGATGCCTTACTGTCTCAAACTCGTAGCTTATAAAGTGTGAGTTTCTGGTGAAATTTCTGGTGTTAATTTGGTTGCATTACTTTAAGAATAGGTAAAATGTGTGTGAATATGAAAGAAATATGATGTGAAATTAGCCACATTTGTGTATAGTCTGCTTAAAGATAAAACCACATAAGTGATATTTTTCACAATTATGTACCTGTTGTTAGAAAATCATAATCTTTCTGCAGATAAAACTCTTATTGAGTTTATAGCTTTTTATCGAGTTTCACCTGCAGAAAGATAGTGGTTTTCTTACCATAGCTATATAAATTAAAGACATTTTGTTATTGACTTACAATTATATGGACGTCGGGTCCGCGCTAAAAAGTGTCCGAACTTATAAGGCGTTAAAATCGTATACAGAGCGTCATTCACGCTTTAGTCTTCGTTTGTTCGACTGACAGCGAAGCAAGCAAAATTAGATAGTACTGCGATGACATTACAATTTAAATTCAACGTTTTAGCTTTTTCATATTCACTTAAATGTCACTACGTTTAAATAGGTTGACTTGGGACATTTTTTTCGTGGTTTTTGTATTAGACCCGTCGTCCATTTATTTGTAAGTCAATGCATTTTGTAGAAAATGTCACTTATGTGGTTACCTTTAAACAGACGATATACAATCCATTTTTTGCATTTCAGTAACTTAGTGCTTTAAGATACGAGAAAGATAAGATTTGAAAAAGTAAGGCGTAAGTATCCTCATCATAGAAATACAGATTTTATTTGTGTTTATATTGATCGGCACTAATTTGCATCTGCCTGTGCCTGTAATGTCACCAGCACCCTTACATGCTGCACGTTACTGCTTGGCAGAAATAGGTA